GGTTGATAAGGTGTGAGTTTATAGTGAAGTGTCCACAGCCTAAATCGGTGACAGTCATATCCTCTTTCTTCAGATTCAACCTTCTCATCCACTTTGTATTTGTTTCAACACCACAACCCCAACAAAAGTGAAAACGTAAAGAGAATGGTGTTTATAAATGTTTATTCCTTTTTTTAAAAAATATTGTCATATTTGCTTTCTTGGACTGGTGTATGTGTGCACTTGTTTCCTTAGCTTAAGTAAGTCGTTAAAGTAAGTAAGTAAAATATTAGGCAGACACCACAAAGGTGAAATCGATTTTTCCAGGGAGCCATAGAGAAGCAGCACAAGAATGTCACAGCTGGGTGATAGGGAAGGAAAAGCTCTAGGAACAGAAAAATCAGAGGCAGGATCCTGCCAAAGTTTAGCTTTTTAAAAACATCCCATCAAAGGTTTCCAATGGGCAGATTTAAAGGTTACATCTCCCAAAGGAAGCACATAGGCGATGAACTTTGTAGGATTGTGCCCCACAGCGTCCTAACACCCATGATACACACGCACATACATTCTAACACTTGGTTTTGTATTCAACATCTAGAATTATCAAGATACAATTATAGCACTTAAATATACAAACTGAAATTGAAGCACGCAAACACGATCTTTAACTCTAAAATTCAGAAGTTATTATTGCACATCAGACTTGTAAAATAGGTTTCCAGGCTAATAGGCAAGTTTGTTTCTCTTCAGTTCTGATTTATTAAGCATATAATGTTCTTTTTAAAAAAAAAAAAAAAAAGCAAACACTCTCAACACTTTTAGGATAGTTATCTATAGGAGGTTTTTCAAACGCACTCTCTGTCCATTAATACTGAATATAAAGGAGAGAGGATTAATGGCATAAACAGATTAATGTTTAGAATAGCCATCCTCAGTTTTAAGCTCCAGATGTTAGACTCCCCTAGCCCATAATTTCCTGTCAGCAAAAACCCTTGATTATATTGGTTTGTATCATGGGAGTTACATATGGAGAGTGCAAGTTTAGCAAGAATCTTGCTTGGGTTTTTTTAATGAGCAAACTGGAAATCCCACAATAAAATAGGTAGAGATCCTAACTTTCAACACAGCAACAAAGATATATGCCTGTGTTTCTCTAGGGCACAGATTTAATAAAGGACTGTTGGAGCTTTGCTGAGCGAGGAGGAATGGCTCATTTTCTCATTGGAGGGAATTTTTGCTTCATCCTTCCTTCAGATACTCCAATCAAGTAGTTTGTACCCTTTATCCAGAATCACATTAACATGAGTTCAATCTTGACTCCATCAGGGGATTGGTGGCCGGAGAACTTCACTGCCTACCCATATCAGCTGCTCAAGCCAAGTAAATAAAAATGAATGTAATGAGACTTTGACTCTGACTGGCATGAAGAAAATAGCATTTTTTTTATGGCTGTTGAATGAAAATCACTAATCCCTCAAGCTGTTAGTTGTACAGCGACTAACAGCTTGAGGGATTACTGATTTTCATTCGTTACCAGGATATTGAGTCTGCACAAGTGATGATGATGGTGGATTGTCTTTAAAACAACATTAGTGGGATTTGGGAAGGAGAAGGGTGGTAGGTAACTGATCTAGAAAAAGTGCAGAGAAGAGCAACCAGGATGATTAGGGGACTGGAGACTAAAACAATACGAAGAACGGTTACAGGAATTGGGGTTGGCTAGTCTAGTGAAGAGAAGGACCAGGGGAGACATGATAACAGTGCTCCAATATCTGAGGGGCTGCCACAGAGAGGAGGGGGTCAAGCTATTTTCTAAAGCACCTGTAGGCCAGACAAGGAATAACGGATGGAAACTGAACAAGGAGAGATTCAACATGGAAACGAGGAGAAACTTTCTGACAGTGAGAACAATCAACCAATGGAACAGAAGTTGCCCTCGGAAGTTGTGGGAGCACCATCAGTTGAGACTTTCAAGAAGAGATTGGAACTGCCATTTGTCAGAAATGGTGTAGGGTCTCCCGCTTGGGCAGGGGGTTGGACTAGATGACCTACGAGGTCCTTTCCAATTCTGATTATCTGTTATCTGTAACTGATCTGAATTGGCCTTGAAACCACTATCATATTTTTACCAAGAAAACTGCAATCGCCAATAGTCAAACTCAACTTTAGTTTTTTACCTCAACCATGCCTGGAAGAAAAGATACACAGGATGATTATCTCCTAATATCCCACAGCGGAGAGCAGCTGTAATTTCCTTTTTTGCATTTCATGCTTGCAATGTCTTTTTCCCCTTGGCTGTGAAACTGTTCAGGTACATCATTCCTTTCCTCAAATTATCTACAAGAGATGCAAATCAAAGGAAAATAGTCCTTGCACACATGGAAGGAAGAAGAAAGCAATCTCTCTTCAGTAATTTAATGGAAGCTGATTTAATGTATTCTGACCTAATGTACCAGCGGAATCAACTTTTCAGCCAGTTAAGTGCTAGCTGAGCTGTTTCTTGATATGTGTCATAATTCAAAGGAAAAAAAAGTTGGGGAAAATAACCAGAGAAGTTTCATTCTTATGGTTCGGAATGTAGAAAATAAAACATTAGGATCAAAACTATTGGGGCTTTTCATTCATGTTACAAAGAGTAGATTAGCTTTGCTACTGTGCTCAAGGGCAAGCTGCAAGCAATCATAGTTCCATCATAAAACTACCTCTACGATAAACATGGTTTGAGAACATGTTATAGACACATACTTCATTCATGCCTACAAGTATTTGGTTAAAATTGTAAACATCCTAAGGGAAAATCTCAAAAAAGCATTAATTTGGCAGGCCATGCAGTCAATTGCACTAAGTTTACAATTTGGGTCAGTAGATTAAAGTTTTGCTATTCTTCACTTGCATTATAGTCATTTAGATGCATACGAACTCTGATAATCCCATTGCCTAGCATTTAGAAGGAACTGTTGATTATTCTGATTTCAAAAAAAAAAAGGAATAGAAATGTAAACTGGTTTTCCAAAAGCCCAATATCTCCATATCAGGTTGAAACTAACCATATAATAAGATGCTTTCCTTGACCAATCCCTTCTTTCTAGTTCCATCAGCATGTCTATCAAGTTGTTAAATCCAGTGGAATTACTACCTAATATGCTATGCCCTAGAGTTAGATGTGGTGATCGGAGGAGAGAGATGATAATATCCTAGCCTATTTTGCTTGCCTCAGCAAAGGGTATCTTTATTTTTGAAAATGAGCTGATATATGGTGTTGAATTGCCAAGCTGCCTAAATGTAGCAGCTTATCCTTCTGGAAAACAATAGAAGTGATGAATGAGAGTATCATGGACCACAGGGCTGTAGAAAAGGGGTTAAGAGTGAGTGAACTAAACATTCCCTCTTTATTTGCAAGTTAGAACAAGTATTCTATTGTTTCAGAAACTGAGGTAAATTAATGAACCTTAATTAACCACATTTCCCTTCATACAAGCTCTTTGTACGAGGATTCATTTGTAGAAGCAGAAATTCTATGACTCAAAAGTCTGCCTTCAAAACCGGAAGGCCTTACTTGGAGAAAAACATCCAAACTTTATGGTATCCCTATATGGGGAAAAGCTGAGGCTGGCTGATTTGAGAGATGGGATCGATTCGTTTCTCTTTTTTTTAAATCCATGCCTACCCAGAGGAAACAGATTGTTTGGAGATGCATGTGTGCATGTGTCAAAAAAGTCAAGATGGAGTTTGAAACCGTGTGACCGAAGCCCATATTTTATACACTCAATGGAGGTAGAAAAAAGGTAGGACTCTGGTCACAAGGTTTTGGACCCCACCTGTCTTTTTTGAATCCCCTGGAACAGGGGTCTCCAACCGTTGTCAACTTCAAGACACAAGTCTTAAAGTTGCCAAGGTTGGAGACCCCTGCCCTGAAGGATGTCCAAGAGAGGTGAAGCCTGAGTAAAAGAGTCCGTGTGGGTCTTGATTAAGATTTAATGAGAAAAAAAATGTTACCAATAGAAAATGCCAAATCTTGTCCAAATCTTACCCCTTCTAGATTTCTCTGACTTGTGTTAGGAAATCATATTGCAACTCTGGATGGTTCTGCATTCATAGCCACTTGTCAAAGTGAACCAACATGGTTCACCTGAACTTCTTTTGTGGAGGTCTTTAGAGATATTATTGTTTTTGCTTCAGTCACGCAGCAATGAGTTGGCTAAAAACACGCAAGGCAAATAATGGGCTTCTTTCAAGGTAAAATTAAGACTGGAGCTAAGCAATCTTTTTTTTGTTTTGTTAAAGAGACTTGAAAGCAATTTCAGAGAAATCTCACTGGGGTTTCTTCCCAAAGACATGAAAGTAGCATCCTACTGTCTATTGTTCACAAAGCTGTTCCCCCCTTTTTCTTCCTTTGTTATTGATGCTCAAGGTAAATGAATAATTATGTTTTTGATCATGAAAACCTACAAAACCTGTGAGGAAAGGCTTAAAGGTTGGAGAGAAGAGTTACCAGCAGAGTTGAGTGCTTGCTTGTTGCATCACCTTCAATTATCTGAAGGGAAACTAACAAACAATTGTCTGTAGGTAGCCACAGAATCATCAAAAGCTGTCAAGCAAGTCTAAATGGCAAAGAGTAGTTAACACAGTTAACTAGTATTAACTGAAGTTAACTGTGTTAATTAACAGAGACAAGATGCTTTGTTTGTCTACCAAGCATCATTTGGGCGAAGGCTACCCTCAACAACAGAGTGTATTTTAGCGTGAAAAAATGTATTTACAACTCCTTAAACATGCATAGCTGTGAAATGCAAACCCAAACCCACCCACACACGTTTATCACCTGCAGAGATGGAGCAAAAGGCCGTGACAAAAAAACTGAGCAAGACAATTTCAATGTTCAACATTTGAATACAGGCTAAGAAGATCTTAGGGTAAAAAAAACAAGAATTGGAGGACACGAAAATTGCAACCTCTACAACAATGAACCCTCTCCAGAGATCAATGACTGAAGTAATAACGTCTCCTGCTGGGGATCAAATCAAGTCCTTTTCAGCCGTGATCTACTCTTCTTTCATGAGAAAAGATCAAGAAACACATGAAGACAGATAGGATCAGGAAGTGTGCAAGGGAGTGTGAGAGTTGGAAGAGGAGGAGGAGAAGGAGTAAATTTGAGGAAGATAGAGAATTCAATACAGCAAGGCTCATTTATTATCACAGCTGGACTACATAAGAAATCTCTGTTATAGAGGTGGCTGGACTTACTGGGAAGTGAGGCTGCTTAAAATCCCACAATTTGTTTAATGTGCTTGCACACTATTCCCAAGGGTTCAACCAGAAGCTCAGTATCTACATAAACATTGGGGTACTTGATGTAAGCCACACTACCTGCCCTCTTCTCAGTGTGTACTCACACATACTCATACACTCCAGCACTCAACATTTCTTCATGCCACCCAAGGACATGCACAGCTACAACTTGGGCAGGATTGTAATACAGGTGTTCAAATACTTGCAAGCACCCATGCTCACAGAGTGAGTGTATCCAAACAAGGGGAAGTGGAGAAATGATCTTCCTAAAAAAAAAAGTTAATTGGCCTTATTGGGATTTAAAAGCCTGACATTCCACTAACCAGGAAAATGATTATATTTTTTCCCCAAGATGTTTCCCCACTGTCTAATTTTGAAAAACAATGCCTAATTTATTTGGGGAGGGGGTAAGAAAACATTTCAGGATGCTGAATAGAATTATCATGATCATTTTCATCATTAGCTTAAAGCACATGCTTATTCTTTTTAATGGATAATGCAATTTTGTGTATTTATTCCTATAGTCGATGCCTAATGTCTTTCTTCTCCTATGTTGTGAAGATAAAAGACTTGTACTGCAGAACGTAGGAGGAGAACAGTGAGTTCCAGTTAGATACAGATTTCCCACACCCAAGGCACAGAGCAATATAATAACAAAGCTACTGAGATACCTATCTTTACCAATACCTTTTATCATGGGAAACCATTTCTTGCAGTTGCTGTATCTAGTCTGCTGATTTCTTTTCCCCAACTAATTACTTTATTCTTTTAACTGATGTTTTCTGCAATCTCTGCCCCAGAACTCCTTGCCTTTCCATCGGGATGTCTAGAGGACTGAAAAAGTCCTTTATTCTACAGCACTAGCTAGCACACCAAACTACATTAGAAGCAAATACAGACATGTTTGAAAGCTTTCCTAACCAGGAAGCCTAAGTATGATCACCCAGTAAAGGTAGATCACACGTTAGTGCATGGATGTTCAATCTTCCAGGGGAACTTCTCCAAGATTTTGGAAACCTGTCTAGAAATGATTGCTGTGGAACTATATTTGTAAATAGCAATACATTAGCTGTTCCTCTTCAATACCATCCTAGACCTAAATGGCTAGTTACGGGAGAGTGGATTGCTCCTGATTTCTGACCTGTTAGGCAAATTCTGGTGATCTACTGCAATGAAGACTCACAAATGATTGGCAGATTGCTTGACAAGCATTTGGACAGGACATACACACTGCAGGCTATTGCTGGGCACCATAGCCAGAGCGATGAAAGAGACAGGTGTTTTGAGCCTGGTTAGGAACTGAAATGTGTCACTGATCATTTATTTTTTTTGTTTTTAAATTTAATATGAACAAAAGATTCTCTGGAACCTACAGGGCTATAGCTTTGATCTCTGGTAAGCTAGGAAGAAAGAGATGATCTCCACAGCCACATAAAGAGAAATGGACCCACCCAGGCAAGTGTACATACATTCATGCATACACGCACTCCCACATTCTGCCATAGTTAGTTACATTCAACTGTGTTTCCTGATCATCTCGTTCAGTTGTTCCTCTCCATTCAGTTTTGACTGCTACCTCCCAGCCCTACAGCCTGCATCCTGGCCAAACAGTGCCCCTTGGTGACATCTACCAAATATAGCCGCCATCATCTGCTTCTCCCTCTTCTTCTTCTTCAGCTTCCTCACCGGCTTCCTCTGTCTCCTTCTCTTCCTCATCTTCCCATCCGACACCACTCCCAAAGTCCCCTGAGAATCCAACAATGTCATCTATAGAAACAAGAACAAGAGAAATGCAGTTGGAGGGGTACATTTCAGTGGTGGGATTCAAATTTTTTTTACTACTGGTTTGGTGGGTGTGGCTTGGTAGGCATGGCAGGGGAAGGATACTGCAAAATCCCCATTCCCTACCCACCCCACTAACCTGCTTTCCAGCTCCGTTCTCCTGTGCAGGGCAACAAAAGAAGAGCCGGCCAATCAGTTGGGACTTGGGAGGCAGAGAATAAATGGGGGCGGAGCCAGTGAGAGGTGGTATTTGCTGATTTTCTGAACTACTCAAAATTTCCACTACCAGTTCTCCAGAACTGGTCAGAACCTGCTGAGTACCCCCTCTGGTACATTTCCTAATTCTTCAATAGTGGAGAATATATTCTGAATTGTTGGGAAAACAACTTCAAAGAGCACTGACAGCCCTTCACCTCATCCTAGGCTTGCCAGGAAAGAGATTTTTATATTCTTCAGCATTAGTTTCAAAGATTTTGGCAGCTGTTTCAGAATGCAGATTCATACAATACAGGTCGTCCTCAACTTACAACTGTGTCAGCGTTCCAGGGAAAATCCATTCCTGTCAGTAACTCCAAGACACACATCATCTTAAAGTACTTTTATTAGAATAGCACCGGGGACATACTGTGGAAATCCAGAACTAAATCTTCCCGGCTTCCCCACAAAGTCCCAACCTACAAACCATCACCTTTTCCATCATCACCACATCACATGCACCAATCCCAAAATAAATTCTATTTCTTTCTTCGCCACACTCTGTAACCTTGAACTATCCAAACAATATATTTTGTCGACTAAGAGCTACTCAATAAACATCAGCCCCTCCCACTTTCTCCAATTATGTGGCAGTGATGAATTCCATGGCTGACAAACTGTTTGGTGACTGAAGTTATGATGATACCGGGAAAAAAACCCTTATGACCATTTTCACACTTATGACCATTGCAGCATCCCCAGGGTCACATGATCAAAATTCAGATGCTTGGCAACTGCCTCACCTCTATGACGATTGCCGTGTCCCCGGGGGTCATGTGATCCTCTTTTGCAACCTTCTGGCAAGAGAAGTCAATGAGGAAGCCAGATTCCCTTAACAACTGTGTCAATAAGCTAGCAACTGCAGGTAATTCACTTAACAACCGTGGCCAGAAAGGTCATAAAATGGGGCAAAACTCACTTAACAAATGTTTCCCGTAGCTACAGAAATTTTGGACTCCATTGTGGTTCTAAGTCAAGGACTACCTGAACTGCCAAAATTGAACTATGGAGAGCTCTTGTATGGTTTCAAAATCATTTTGCCACAGTCAGATATGAATGTGGGATAATGGACGTGATGGGCATTAAAGTTGCCCTTGTCCCAAGTCAGGTGTGCTGAAATATTTAAATAAAACCAACCTTTATTGTAGTCATTAACCATCACGGGCAGGATTCTTTTAAGTTTGGATCCAAAGATGCTGAAGGGCAGCACTATTTATGCCTGTTATTTTCTCATTTTGCCTAATATCCCTGTGCATTATCACTTCTGCTTCTTAGGCACTATCTCTTTAACCTATACTTAGATGAATTGAAGAAGATACTTCAAGTCTCCGTGGTACCTTCTCCAAAGGAACGGTGTATTACTGATTAACATCAGCAAGTGTTGTGGTTTGCCAGCTGCCAGCACAGCCAGCAGTGGAATTGGACAGTGGGGAAGGACGGGGACCAGTCAGGGAGTCTGGAGGGGACTCGGATGAGGGTCCTGAGTCCGATGCAGGGATGGGGCCAGGACCATCTGGGAGTGGGGTGCTAACTCCGGAGCCTCCAGAGTCTGGCAGCAGCGAGGCAGAGGAACAAGGGGAGCCTGTTCCCAGTGCGCGTGTGCGCAGAGCTGCTAGAAGGCAAGAGCAGCTGAAACAGAAGGGGTGACTTGGGAGTAAGGTTGGGAGATGATTGCCCCTCCCATAAGGGATAAAGGACAGGCAAAGATGATGAAACTTTTGCAGAAAGCAAAGTTGTTTATTCGGTTCAGTTTCATTCTTGAAGCTCTGGTTGGTTTGTTTTTTTTCCTAGTTCATTTGATATTTCTGTTATTGGCAGCACTTCACAGAAAAGAAAGGTGGGTGCTTATCTCAAGGGACTGTTTGAGATTAAGTCTGGCTGGGAATGAAAACAATTCCCAGCATAGCAATAAAATAAGTCTTGTTTTTAAAATAAGCATGTGCGTAATTATGGTCTAGGAAGCTTTGGTCAGAACAGCAAGAAACAAAAATGCAAAGAGTAGCAAAAATATCATAATTCACTGGATCCTCCAAAGGGAATAGAGCAGGGGTGTCAAACTTGATTTCATTGAGGGCCACATCAGGGTTGTATTTGACCTTGGTGTGTGTGTGTGTGTGTGTGTGTGTGTGTGTGGCCAGGATGGGCGTGGCCAGTTCGACATCCATTTTCAACTGCAACGGCTTCTGCCAGCGCAAACGAACTTGAGGGAGTACGTGCAGCCCTCCCAAGCTCCGTTTTCACTGCCAGGGGCTCCTTTGATGTTTCCAGGGCGGCCCCATGGGACAGCTCCAAGCACCCCGCGTGCCAGATCTGGCCTGCAGGCCTTGAGTTTGGCACCCCTGGAACAGAGAATTAGAGGTATTTCCAAGTCTGGAAATGTGTCAGCTTTGGAAGCCATATTGAGATCAGAGGCTCCCATGCTGCCACATTTGAACCTGGGAAAGTGGGAGGGGGGAATTTCTTGGAATAGATCTAGTTAGACATAATAACATTCTTTTTCTGATTCAAGGTCAAGTTGTTTTGCACATAAGTGAGAGGAAATCTTACTTTGGGACGGATGGTGATTGGGCCATGTGATGTGATTGATGAGTGCAGGGGATGGATTTGTAGTTTTTACTTATTGTAAGGAAGCCCAGAACTTTCAGATTCAGGATTTCACAGTTGTGCCAGTTACTATCCAAAATAAAAGGAACCGTTGAGGAGATGTCTGCCTCGGAGTTATTGGGCAGAATGGAGTTTTGCTGGAACACTGACAACATGCTTCCCTTAAAAGGGAAGAAAATCTACTTTTCCCCAGATCCTGCCATACAGTCATGCAATTCTTCACTCCGAAGGAGACAAGGAGCTACTGTTTCTTCTTGCCTCCAAAAAGGGGGAGAAAGACTATCTATATATTTACCTTAGTCTATGTCAGGCTATGTGGAGAGCCCATGTTCATCCTTCCTTATCCCACTTGGAATACATAATGAAGCACAGCTCTCTCACGAATCCTCAAGCGGGATTAAGCCCACAAACTTGGCTACGGTCATTATGGCCGTCCTTCAGGGAAGATGTCGGGCATCTGGGAAAGAGCAGTTCTGGGATACTTACAAGATGGCTGCTACCCGGAGGGCAGATGGGACTATGGAAGGAACATGGACCAAACGGGTCCCACAGGTTAGAAATGCAGTCAGATAGAATTAATCCTTTTTGTATGATGACATTTAGTTGTCCCAAAAGGACATTTTTCAAGCACAAATTCAGCTGATTTGATAAAGGGCAGATAGTCCTCGACTTACAACCACAACTGAGCTCAAAACTTCTGTTGTTAAATGAGACCATTGTCAAATGAGTTTTGCCCCATTTAATAACCTTTTTTGCCACTGTTGTTAAGTGAATCACTGCAGTTGTGAAGTTAGCAACATGATTGTTAACTAAATCTGTCTTTCCTGTTGACTTTGGGACACAGCAACGGTCGTAAATATGAACCAGTTGCCAAGCACCTGAATTTTGAACACCTAACCAAGGGGATGCTCCAAAGGTCATAACTCAGTGCCGTGGTAACTTTGAACGGTCACTAAAGGGACTGTTGTAAGTTGAGGACTAACTGTAAATAAACAAGTAAGTAAAGGAATCTTAAGAGAAATGACACAAAGGTTTGCTTCATTGTGTTGTTTGTAGGATGACATCAAGATGAACATCCGTAGGTTGACATCATCATGCCTTGGGAGTTAGGCTAGCAGAGAACTGCTACGGAATCCCCAAACTGCAGATTAGAGGGTAACATCCTGGAAGAAGCCAACAGCAAACAATTTGTACTATTGCCAAATAAACTTTGTAGTTGTGTCCCTGTATAGGTAGTCCTCAGCTTACGACCATAATTGACCCCAAAATTTATGTTGCTAAGCAAGACAGTTGTTAATAGCACTAGTACTTAAGTGACTTTTATATCATTTCACAGTACTTTTTCAGCCCTCTCTAAGTTGTAGAGTCAGCCTATTGCCCCCAACCATCTGGGTCCTCATTTTACTGACCTCGGAAAGATGGAAGGCTGAGTCAACCATGAGCCTGGTGGGATTCGATCTGCCAAATTGCAGGCAGCTGGCTGTCAGCAGAAGTAGTTTGCTTGTACTGCATTCTAACCACTGCGCCACCGAGGCTCTAGTTATTTAGCTATTAGTTATTATTTAAGGAGAAGAAAGAACTGAGGTATGTCCATGAAAACAATCTACAATGACATTTGAGTTAAGAGTTTTCAAGTCAAGTGGTCTGGTTTTTAAGAGTATGTGTTACGAGATTTGATATTCAATTTTGTAGGAATTTTAGATGCTTATTATCATAAGTAGTCCTCTATTTATGACTGGATTGAACTTGGAATTGTGATCATAAGTTGTTGCGATTGCAAGTTGAGGTATCATGAGACCGGATGATTTTTCAGCATTTTGCACATTTGTTAAGCAACAAATTTTATCCAATAGGTATTTTTTGCTGCAATCTGGGAATAAATGCCAGAAACTAACAAATTGTGATTGTATGACAACAGGACACTGCAAAATGTTGTAAAGCTGGACTGGTTGCCAAGCAACCCAAAGCACAACCAACCACAATCAACTTCCATCAAGGATGGAAGGCTGATTTAACCTTGAGCCTGGTTGGGATTCGATCTGCCAAACTGCAGGCAGCTGGCAGTCAGCAGAAGTAGCCTGCAGTACTGCACTCTCAACCACTGCACCACCACAACATAAGTGAGTTTTTCCCCCGTTTTGGGACCTTCCTTGCTACAGTTGTTAAGTGAATCACTGCAGTTCTTAAGTGTACCATATGGTCATTAAATGAATCTGGATTTCCAGGTGACTTTGCTTGCCAGAAGGTTGCAAAAGGTTATCGCATGACCCCAGGATACTGCAAACCATCATAAGTACATGCCAGTTGCCAAGCATCTGAATTTCGATCACCTGGTCACAGAGATGCTACAACGGTCATAAGGGTGAAAAACAGTCACTTTTTTTTTCCAGTGACGTTGTAACTTTGAATCATCACTAAATGAATGATTGTAAGTCAAGGTCTACCTGTAATGACCAAGAGAATGACATGAAGATACCCTTCACATGTAAGATCCAGAGGTGGTATTCAGCAGGTTCTGACCAGTTCTGGAGAACCAGTAGCGGAAATTTTGAGTATTTCAGAGAATCAGCAAATTCCACCTCTGACTGGCCCCGCCCCCATCTATTCCCTGCCTCCCGAGTCTCAGCTGATTGGCTGGGTCTTGTTTTGTTGCCCTGCACAGGAGAACGGAGCTGGAAAGCAGGTTAGTGGGGTGGAGAGGGAATGGGATTTTGCAGTAACCTTCCCCTGCTGCGCCCACCAAGCCACACCATACCCACTGAGCCAAGCCCACAGAACCGGTCGTAAAAAATTTTTTGAAGCCCGCCACTGGTAAGGTGTATTCTCAATGCCCCTCCTGCCCCAAATCTTCTCCCCTTTCCTTACCACAGTCTGGATTCCCATGCATCCGGGTTCCTGTCAGCTCCGTGCCAAGATGATCAACGCACCAGCACTCCCCACTGCTGGAGTCACACTGCATCTTCCGATAGTATCCATCCTCATCACAGCTCGGAATGAAGACTCCTGGGGGAAGAAAAAAATGCCCCCCCTTGTGTTAAAAAAAAAAAGCAGGCACTGAGAACTTAGGGCGTTTCCCTTCCAGGATCCTCTGAATGCAGTGCCAGACCTCTGTGTTCTCATTCAGAAATTGTACCGATGTATTTCCAGCACTAACTTAAGGGGACAGAAGCATTTTCTTGCGTATCTTCATGAAGCTCCATAGAAGCTGCAAAATATCAGTTTTGTGACTGGCAGGCAGGGGTGGGCTGCTGGGGGTTCGCAGGGGTTTGGGAGAACCCCTAGCTAAGATTCTTTTATTTTATTTTGTCAAGGAATTATAAGATAACAGGTATAAGTATAAACATAGTTATGAATACATGAAATGGATATGTATAAGAAAAATAAAAAGAAACAATAGGACAGGGACGGCAGGCACGTTGGTGCGCTTATGCACGCTCCCTACAGACCTCTTAGGAAAGGGGTGAGGTCAACAGTAGACAGTCTAAGGTTAAAGTTTTGGGGGTTTGGGGAAGAAACCACAGAGTCAGGTAGAGTATTCCAGACATTGACCACTCTGTTGCTGAAGTCGTATTTCCTGCAATCAAGTTTGGTGCGGTTTACCTCGCGTTTGTATCTATTGTGTGCTCTTGTATTGTTATGGTTGAAGCTGAAGTATTCATTGACAGGTAGGGAATTGCAATGTATGATTTTATGTACTATACTTAGATCGGACCGAAGGCGTCATAATTCTAGGTTGTCCAGACAGCCCCCAAATCCCACTCTTGGCTGGCCCTGCCCAGCCCCTCCCAGGAGCCCCCACGTGGCTCATTTTGGATGCAGGTAAGTGCAGGGCGCGCGTGGAGGCTTGGGGAGGGTGAAAAACGGGCCTTCCAGAAGTTCAGAAAGGCTGGAAATGGGCCCGGTTCCAGCTTCTAGAGAGCTTCTGGAGTCTGAGGAGGCCATTTTCGCCCTCCTGAAGGCTCAAGGAAAGCATCCGGAGCCCGGGGAGGGCAAAAAAGCCCCCCCCCCCCCGGCCATGGTGCAGGAGGCTAACCAGGCCACACCCACTATGGCCACGCCCACCCAGCAACCAGGCCGAGAAGCCTTTGCTGGCAGGAAATCATTCTTGCCCCACCCCAGTAATATCAGCCTTGCCATGCTTTTCAGGGGTCCTTAAAGGAGAAAGGGGCCTTGACGGCTGGACAGTCTGCCCCCAGCCAGCCACCTCTCTGCTGTTTTTGGGGGGTTTTTTTTGCATACAGCCGGACAGATGCACGCGGCTGGTACCCATTCTGCTTAAACTGAGCCCGGGATCGACTGGAAGAGCATATACGGCTGGCAGATCCCTGCAATTCTTTCCCATAGCAAAGGCCAGTCCTTGTCAAGACTTATCCTTCCCTTTCCTCTTCAAAAAGGTGAGGACTTGTAAAGCTTGGCTTGCTTTCTTCTCCTCTGGGTTATGGCCTCATAGGGGAGAGTGGACGCCTGCCATTCTTCCCCTTCTTGTGTGCACTGGAGAGCGAAATGACTTTTGTGGCTTCTCCTCACAACTCTTCCCTTCTCCTCCTTCCCCACAGCCCCTCGTTGCCCCGTCCTGGCGCACTGCTGTTCCTGCCCCTCCCCCACCCCCCCCCCCCCCCCCCCCACTTTCTCCACTCCAGTCCTGATAGCCGCTGCCATTCGAGCTACCAGGAAAAGTCTCTGGCTGCCAAATTGCTGGCTGGCTGACTCTCCTTTTATCATCTCTGCCAGCCAGAAGCTTCTATTATTGCAATTATATCCTGCCTTTCATCTAGGAGCGCAAGGTAGCCTACGAGATGGTCTCTGCTCATTTTATTCCCCCAGCAACAGCTCCGTCAGGGAGATTGGGCGGAACTGCAATGCAGCACCGATGGCTTCGTGCCTCTGAAATTACCTCTTTGCTGGCATATCGACTCCCCTGTGGAAGCGGGAGGGGAAAACAACCCTATTTCCTTCTGAAGTTTCCCCCATGAACTACATATATATATATATTAATATTTATGTTCCATCTTGGCTTTTGTATACATCCAGGCACAGACATAACACTCCCTGCCTATGCTCCCTACAACAACAGCCCTGCGAGATAGGTCGGGTTGAGAAGAAGCCACTCACCCATCCGGCATTCACGCCACCTAAGGGAAGACTAGACTTAGACTTTGAATGAATGAGTTGGGAGGGATCCTGGAGGTCTTCTAGTCCAGCCCCCTGCTCAAGCAGGAGAACCGATGCTATTTCAGATAAGTGTCTAGTTTCTTTTTAAAAAACCCCAGAAATGGACTGCCCCTGATTTCTGAAGGCAAGCTACCCCACTGGGTACTTGTCCTCAACTATTATGAGATTTCTCCTTAATTCCAGGTTGCTTCTTTCCTTGATTAGTTTCCAACCATTGTTTCTTGTCTTGCCTGCTGGTGCTTTGGAGAATAATTTGACTCCCTCTTCTTTGTGGCAGCCCCTCAAATACTAGAATTCTGCTATCATGTCAACCCTAATTCTTTTTTTTTTCTTTAGACCACCCAAGCCCAAATCCTGCAGACGTTCTTCATATGTTTTAATCTCCAGGCCTTTTATCACCTTAGTTGCTCTTCTCTGAGCTTTTTCCAAAATGTCAACATCTTTTTTATAGTACCGTGACCAAAATTGGTCGCAGTATTCCAGGTGTGGTCTTAAGTAGGTCTTACTAGATATTGAGGAACCCCAGTTTCAAGTTCAGCCCCCCTAACTACTACACCAAATGGATGACCTTGACCAATCATGATTTTTTTGGACTTGCCTTCTCTAGCTGGCCCTGGAGTAGGGAGTCATCTATTCTCTGTCAGAGGAGTTCTGTCTTACGACTATCACTGAGTTTAGCTTGTCCTTCTCTGAGGCGTTCTGTGATGACCAGGGGCATGGCACAAAAATAACCAAGTCACAAAAATAGAAGAAAGTCCCTTTAATGCCTCCAACTTGGCCCCAGTGTCCAATTATCCTCGGCTGGATATCAAACTCTTAAAGAAAACAGTTTACGGAGGGAGTAAATGCAGTCCGCACCCAAAGTAAAGTTAATTCAAAATAAAAAACCCAACACACACCACACTGAGGGAATTCCTACGGCAGGTAAGGATGATTAATTGCAGACTTCTACCAGATAATGTAGCAGCCACAGTTGAGAGGAAGCCAAAACACAGATAAGCCCCGACAAGAATGCATGCTTTGCTTCCAGCAACTTTGCCATGTGCAGTTTGTCCTTTTAACCAGTCCTCCCAGCTGCAGCCCATGAAGGGGATCAGGGCCCCTTCCTCCCCTGTAGACCATGCCACTCACGTTTCTCCCTTATCGGCTCCTCCCTGTATGCCCTAGGATGAAGAGGGGATGGGCCCGGGTCTTTCTCTGAATACCCATCCAGCCTGTGCCCTTCCCCAGTTTCCTCCACAACCACCGGAGCCACACTCCCACTCCCTGTCAGCTGTTCCATCTCTCCCTCGGAGTCAGACTCCGACAGGAGCATGATACGTTCAATTCTCTCTGTTGTCTACCTGCTTATTTTGCTGTTTTTTCATCCTCAGGTGAAAGGTGCTTAGAGTCGCTTCTTGTGATGGAGGCGGCCTACAGCAGGAATGCAACAGGGAATGCGCAATGTGTGGGGCAGGGAGGTTGAGAATGATAAGAGAAATACACAAAGAGCCTGTGCTTAAAAGCTAGGGGACTTGCAAATGAATTTTACTCATGTCCTGCACGGAGTTGTGGGGCAGACAATGCGACTTAACACAAATAAAGGCACAAGTACATTTCCCAGGATGCTGCAGGATCCAATATGGGTCAGTCACTGGTTCCAGAGGTTTAGTCTTCTGAGTTTTGGCACTGGTGCTGGAGTCCGTCCTCTGGGAATTTCTTTCTATTGGAATCTGTGCTTTGGGCTATTATTCCATGTGTTGTATTTATGTGGTGTCTGGTGAAGCCACGCCCACTCTGACACCACGTAAACACTACACATAGAATAGCTGAAAGCACACATTCTGGCCGAGAGAAGTTCCCTGAGGATGGTTTTCAGCACAAGTCCGAAAACTCGGAAGACTAAACCTCTGGATCCAGTGACCAATCCAGTTTGGATCCAGCAGTGCGATTTTTCTTATATTTAAGACTTCAAACAGCTGCGACTGGGCACCGATAGGAATGATTGTTTTGCACTCTCTGAGGGAGAACGCCAGTTGGATTATGGTGTGATATCCTCCCTTTCATCTTTGTGCTTCTAGATAGACAAAACAATCCTTACTCACCTTCAAATTGAGAGAGTGAGGATGGAAAGCCCGGAGTGTAGAAATCACTTGAGCTACAGCAACAATTACATTTATTTTTCAGGAAGGAGAGCTACACTCTCCTTGGGGATCTAGTGTTTCCACACTACCACTGAACTAGATTCCATCTCCGCCCCCACCCTCTGGAAATGTAAAGAAAGACATACTTTCACAAGAAAAAGAGCTCAACCATCAGGGCTAAATTCGCCACAATTAATATCTCTGTGGATTTTTTCTTAAAATAAAAATGACTATATTTTGCGAGGTACTGTTTTTGAAAACATGCACCTCTTCCGTGCATAATTATGCGATTTAGGTTCTAATTGTCAACAAGCAAATGAGGCATTGCATTAGCAGGGCTAAAGCCATTCCAAATGACTACGTCTTTTTTTCCTCTCACTCCGATGGCTTATTATGTGGAGTTCCTCCCTCAGTCATCCACCCACACGATGGATCAGGCCTGGGGGATCCATTACATTGGCCAGGCTGTTCTGATGAATGTGAGAGTGCTGGGTGTTTCAGCACTGGAGTGTTCTCTAGTCCCAGAAAATATGGGTTCACACATCTCTTCAACATCTTTAAATTCCCGGAATGCCATGTCGCGCTTCTATAATGGTTCTTGAACCACTGGGGAATATGGAGATGTAACAATACATTAAATATAAATTAAGCGCTGGTCATCACTTCACAAGAAACTATGAGTTTATGGGCAAGAAGGAAGAAGATGTATGCTTTACTTACTAGGACATAACCACCACAACTTTGATTGCCAGAATTTTTCTTTTCTATAACTACAGCTCTAAAATTTGCAAACATTAAAAGAAAACACGGGCAGGGGTCATTTTAGGAGAAGGACACATATTACAGGAAACAGGCCTTTGTCAAAGTATCTTCTGTCCTCTTGGAAATCAAGCACACATAGACATTTGTTTGCCTCCGAGGCTTGAATTCCCAAAGACTGGAGACAGACAATTTACCGAAGGCAGCTTGAATTCAGCAATTGCTACAGATGGATGCCCTCAGCTTATTTTTCTTTTCCTCCGATAAATGAGTTTGATAAGGTTTGGATATTATTTCATAAGAGTTACCCAAACAGAATGGACAGGGACATACAGCTGAGTCTGTAAGCTCAAGAAATGAAGCTTTTCTCAAACTGTTTTGAAGTCTCTTGAAAAGAGCTGTCCATTCATGTGTATGTCTAGATGAGTTTATTTAAAACCTGCAATAGATGGTTGAGATAAGTTTTTGTGTGTGTGTGAAATGATGCAGGGAAGTGGAATATCTCTCCGCAGGACCGAGGGAAACCATGGGTCAGGGTTGAATCCCACATCAATGCTCCTATGGACGGGGAAGAATTTGCTGAGCATTGGTGAAGCAGAGCAGCTCATCCCGAGAAAGGCCACCATGGGTTATAGGTAGTTCAACTTGTCTTGGGAAAATCTTCAAAAGAAAACTCTCCAACTTGATGGAAAGACTCAGCTCCCAAGTGATTGTGAGTCTAGATCAGAGGTCTCCAACCTTGGCAACTTTAAGGCTTGTGGACTTCAACTCCTACAAGTCCACAAGTCTTAAAGTTGTCAAGTTTGGGGACCCCGGGTCTAGATACACCCAGTTCAAATTCTGTATCTTTCACCACAGGTGAAGCAAGTAAGCTAATCTCGGAAGCAAAGGATAGGTTGTCTATCATACACGGCTCTTCTTCTAACTCATGGTCCCTGCTTCCAGCCTACAGTCTACAATATCTAATGATAGGGGTAGACAGTGGTATCCATGGGGCTCAAAGGGAAGCAGAATGATTAAAACTACATTCTGGTGTTCAGACACACAAAACCAGCTCACTGAGGTGTGTGTACATGAGATGAAACTTGTGGTGTGAGGCTACTTTCCTTACTTCCATAAAAACAGCATGAATAGAAAAGATCTATGAGAGGTCCTAAATATTATTTTAAGAATTGAAAAGCACATGTATGTCTGATATGTATGAATAATACATAGAGAATCCATTTGGTCTAGTGGTTATGGCACGGTCTTAGAACAGCGGGACACCAGGGGTTGTACTTCTACCTTAGCCATGAAAAGCCAACCTTGGGCCAGTCAGTCTCTCTCAGCCCAGCTCATCTCACAGGGTTGTTTGGGGGGAAAATAGGAGGAGGAAGGTGTGTTGGATATATTTGCCACCTTTAGTTATTTGTAAAAAATAATAAATGTGGGATATAAGAAAACAAATAATTGTTTTAATATAAAGCCAAGTTTTATCCTTTTCATAAAATACGTTATATATTACTCCCATACTATTTTAAGAACTGAAAAATATATGTGATACCCCTGAATAATTGAAATATCCATAAATAATCCAAGATCCTTAATACAGAGCCAAATTATACCACTAAAACTTCTACTGCCTCTTAGAAATGCTATAGTCAGACAAGATCTTTCCCCCGCTTCTCTTCTACAAGTCTCAGAAACCATTTTCTTTTTCTGCTTTCATCTCAGCAACTCACCAGGTTTTTTTTTCGAAGCTTCCTGGATCTGAATCCTCTCCAGCTCCGTCAGGCATGGAGGCTCTGTAATAGTCAAAGCAGAATTCATCAGTGCCAAATCAGCTCAGCATGATCTCCTGAGCACACGAAGGAAGCAAGTTCTTTTCCTGAAATTCTTCCGCAGTCTGGGGTAGAGGACAAGAACATTCGCCTGTCCTACAAGCTTGAAAGATGACTGCAATAATATATGCAAATAGATCTATGAATTTAAGAAATGGGCTATGTGCGTTTTAGGCATTTTAATTACATCGTTTGAAACGAAACCCAAGCTCTAATATACACCTCAGTCCACCAGGCCTTTGCTTAGTTCCCTGAAATCTGGTAGTAATGGTGGTGCCATCAATGTACACCTAAATATAAAAATGCCTCTGGAGATTCTCAACCATCCAGGTCATGGTTATCCCAAAGGTGGCTTTTTTCCACTTCAGAGATGAAGAAGCTTCTTGGATGAGTAGTGAAACGTCTTCAAAGAAAAAATAGAAAGTCCAGTTGCCTCTTGAAAAAAAAAAAAGCACCTTTGGGACCTAGATATATAGAATATAGAATCATAGGGCTGAAATGGAACCTCAGAGGTCTTCTAGTCCGACCCCTTGCTCATCAAGATAGGAGATCTGATACCAGGGGGTCTTCAAACTTGGCAGTTTTAAGACTTGTGGACTTCAACTCCCAGAAGTCCTCCTCCAGTCATGTTAGCTCAGGAATTCTGGGAGTTGAAGTCCTCAAGTCATAAACTTGCCAAGTTTGAAGCCTTATACCACCCCGGTCAAATGGTTGTCCAGTCTTTTTTTGGAAAATCTCTAGTGATGGAGAACCCACAATTCCAGAAGGCAAGATATCCCATTGATTAATTGTTCTACCTGTCAGAAAATTTCTCCTTACTTCTGGGATGGATCTCTTTTTAACAAGTGACCTAGTACATCAAGGTACACCTATATTATGAGAGTATCGTATCTTTGTCTAAGCAGCTACTATAATCTTTAGCCTATTTATTTAGAGTATTCTGGAATACTCTACCTGACTCTGTGGTTTCTTCCAGACCCCAAAAACTTTAACCTTAGACTGTCTACTATTGACCTCACCCCTTTCCTAAGAGGTCTGTAGAGGGTGTGCATAAGCGCACCAATGTGCCTACCATCCCTGTCCTATTGTTTCTTTTATTTTTCTTATATGTATCCATTTCATGTATTTATAACTATGTTTATACTTATACCTGTTATCTAATAATTGCTTGACCAAATAAATAAATAAATAAATAAATAAATAAAATAACAAAGACTTTGTCAGAGTATATTCATGAACTGGAATAGAGCATAGTAACAGGGTCAGCCAATGAACAGCAACTAAGTCAGCCAATGAGGACTGTTTGGAAACTGAAACTAGAAGTAGCCTAGGCGTGGCTCTATGTTAGGCTCTGCAAGTCTGCAGCTATGTTAAGCTCTGAGTCTGTCTATTGAAAATGAAACTGGTTCTCTCCTCTGCTGTGTGTCTTGCTTGCCTGCTGAACTAAAGTGAAACTGATGTCTGTTTCCGAGCTCCTGAGTTGCTGTTCTGCTCTGAACCTGTAAACCATGTCTGCTTCTGTTTCAGTTTGCTCCATGTTGGAGAAATCTACAACTGGTATTGTAAAATTTACTTTATGTGTTTATAAAGAAGTTAAATGAGGTCTCAGACATCTGTGTTTACTTTTCTGGAGCTGAATTTATGCTGCAACACTCTGACCAGACTTAAAAGACATAGCAGGAAAAAAAAAATTGTGACGTACTCTCTCTCCAGAAGCAGAAACACCACTCTGCAGTGGAGACACGGCCATCCTTGTAGGTGTCACAGGAATTGAAGAAAGGCCTGATGCAAATCTCATACTTGTCCAGGTTGATAGCCGCCAATTCTGCCTGGTCCAGGAAAAGATCGCTGTTGGTGTCCAACTTGGAAAACATCCAGCCGATGGAGTCTTTGCAACTGGCCACCAGGTTTTTGTCCAGTGCTGCAATAAATGAACATTTAAATAACTGGAGAGGCAGAAAAAACAGTGAATGCATTTGCCCTTCCACAGGTCACAGAATTTTGAAGTCTGTACTCTGCAATCATGGGAGGGCAGATTTTCACATCCGGAAAATCTTAACTTTCATTAGTCCTTCTAAGAATAACCCCAAGTGATTGATGGATACAGAATAACAGGTTTGGAAGGGACTTTGGAGGTATTCTAGTCCAATCCCTGCTCAGGCAGGAGACGAGAGAGAGAGAAAGAGAGAGAGAGAGACAGAGAGAGAAAAAGATAGACAGATAGACAGAGGCAGAGAGAAGCAGACAGACAGACACAGAGAGAGAGACAGAGAGACAGAAAGGCAGAGAAGCAGAGAGAGAGAGACAGAGACAGAGACAGGCAGACAGACAAACAGAGAGAGAGGTAGAGAGACAGAAAGGCAGACAAGCAGAGACAGAGAGACAGAGAAACACAGAGGGAAACAGAAAGAGACAAAGCAGAGAGACAGACAAACAAACAGAAAGAGACACACAGAGAGAAACAGAGAGGTAGAGAGACAGAAAGAGGCAGAGAAGCAGAGAAAGAGAGAAACAAACAGAAAGAGACACACAGAGAGAAACAGAGAGGTAGAGAGACAGAAAGAGGCAGAGAAGCAGAGAAAGAGACAAACAAACAGAAAGAGACACACACAGAGAGAAACAGACAGAGAGACAGAAAGAGGCAGAGAAGCAGAGAGAGAGACAGAGAGAAATACAGAAATACAGAGACAGAAAAGCAGAGAGACAGAGACAGACAGACAGAAAGAGACAGACAGAAAGAAAGGGACACACACAGAGAGAAACAGAGAGATAGAGAGGCAGAAAGAGGCAGAGAAACACAGAGAGACAGAATGAGGCAGAGACAGACAGACAGAAAGAGAGAGAGGGAAACAGAGAGATAGAGAGAGAGAAAGAGGCAGAGAAGCAGAGAAGGAGGGGAGAGAGAGGGAGAGGGAACGAGAACTTATCAGTTCATAACAGGATCACGAGAGAAATCAGCATGTATGAGTCACTCAACCTTCACAGGAGTTTCAAATGTCCTTTAAAAAGGAGGCATATTCTCCCTTCAAAGACTCGTTCAGGCAGCTGCTGGGACCCAGCACTTGACTTGAAGGCACAACACACACACACGCACACGCACACACACACAGCTAATTTAATAATGAGTATGCCCACTAGTCATAGAATGTAATGATCAAATCGGAGAGCAAGCAATACATTGGGATGTGTATGTATGTACATGTGCATCTGCAGTGGGAAATACTGAGAAAGGGGATGTTTGGCTAGTACGCAGATGGGACTATTTTATTAGAAAGAGAAAATACAGTACATTGCGATATTTGCAAGTCCTACTGCTATTTTTAAGGAGTTGTGCTATCTCCTCACAAAGGGATGGAGAAACTGAGGCTTTCAAAGTATTGCTGAACTAGAAGTTCCAACTAGCACCCTTATTGGTGATGGAGAGAAAATTGAATAGTAGCCCTTGATGTACTTTCCAAAGCCAACTTTCTAAAGCCAAGGTTTTCTTTTTTTAAAAAAAATTCTAAATAAAGTGTCCTTTACTTAGGAAGCAGAATTCCTGCAAAACTACGGACAGTGCTATTCTATTATCCAAACGACCAGAAGAAATTAATATACAGTATATTCCACTAACATACTTCTTTGCATCAGTTACACAGGTCATAGGAGCCAGCTTTTCTGAGTGCACTGTGCTAATTTATATAAAGGCTATACAGAGTATTCATAATGAAAAGTATTATCCCCTGGAAAGATTGACAGCTGCCGCTAACGAGTGGCAAGGTTCAAACTTGAGGCTTTAAAGGGAATTTTATGCAGTGTGAAATCCTGCACTGGAGATCGAAAGCACTCTAAAGAGAATATATTAATTAGGTATGCGTACTTAAGCAACGGTGAGCCTGGAGGCCAAATTGACAATTGCCTGTCTTTCTCTCAAGCTGGAAGTGAAAGAAATTCAATTCTCGGTAGCAGAAGAGTCATAGATTGCTTTAGAAAAAGGTTGAGATCTAATATTGACCTCCTACCATAACCATCACCCCTACCCTCTGTTCTAAATATGGCTCTCTAGGAAAACATGCCTCCAGATGTGACAGATCAAAGAGCATTGACATTGGTCAACCATGCCTGCTCCTCCTTCTCTTTTCAGCATATGGATCAGTGGTGGGTTTCAAAAAGTTTTCCTTCTGGTTTGGTGTGAGCATGCGCTTTGCATACACGCAGCATTTGCAACTCACCTTCTGCTGCAAGCCTTATGTGTAAAACAGCTGAGGGGGGCAATTGGCTATGCCGCACGAAGCAGGTGAGGTTGAAAAGCAGGATATAAAGGTCAGTGTAGAGCCAGGGCGTGTGGGAGGGCCCAGCAGCTGATCATCGGAGCGAACCAGTTCGCTCACAGCTTATCGTCAGGGCGAACTGATTCGCTCACAGCTGATTGTCAGGGCAAACCAGGTCGCTCACAGCTGATCATTGGAGTGAATCAGTTTGCTCACAGCTGATTGTCGGAGTGAACCAGTTCACTCACAGCTGATTGTCTAAGCGAACCAGTTTCCTCACAGCTGATTGTCAGGGTGAACCAGTTCACTCACAGCTGATTGTCTAGGTGAACCAGTTTCCTCACAGCTGATTGTCGGAGCAAACTGGTTCACTCACAGCTGATCGTCGGAACAAACTGTTTCACTCACGGCTGATCATTGGAGTGAACTGGTTCGCTCACAGCTGATCGTCGGAGCAAACTGGTTCACTCACAGCTGATTGTGGGAGCAAACCAGTTCACTCGCAGATGATCGTCGGAGTGAACTGGTTCTCTCACAGCTGATCATCAGAGCGAATGGTTTGGTCACAGCTGATCGTTGGAGCGAACTGGTTCACTCACAGCTGATTGTTGGAGCAAACTGGTTCACTCACAGATCATTGGAGTGAATTGGTTCACTCACAGCTGATCGTTGAAGGGAACTGGTTCGCTCACAGTTGATCATCGGAGCGAACTGGTTCACTCACAGCTGATCATCAGAGTGAATGTTTGCTCACAGCTGATCATCAGAGCAAACGGTTCGCTCACAGCTGATCATCAGAGCGAACTGGTTCGCTCACAGCTGATCATCAGAGCAAACCAGTTCGCTCACAGCTGATCGTCTGACCGCTGGTATGGATCACGTTGCTCTCCATGAACATTCCAGCAGTTGGAGGCAAGTTATTATAGCTAAGGCACTTATCTGCAAAAGTTTGCTGATGACACAACCCCTTTACTTCAGGGGCCTCCATAAAAAGTGGGGGCAGGATTTCAATCACATCATCACAACAATCATCATAACTTTTTTTTTTGCCCCCATCCGTTTTGGCTGCATTGGCAAGGGTGGCAGAAGACCATCTGCACAAAACCCAACAAGCAGACCTGACTTCATGCATCTCCCTCCCCTGGGAAGCCATTGGAATTCATTGACATTTAAGCTAATGATCTTCCTCCTGAATTATTGCACTTTGAAGTCTGTAAAGTGCTTTGGGATCAATCTGCCAACTCTGCTCAGGGACTGGAGATTTATTTATTTTTGTAACAAGTACACAAAAATGTTTGCTGTCTGGTGCTCACCTAGCCACTGGCAGAATCGGTAGCCCCCACACTGTGCCCAAACAGGGAACAAAGTAGCTTGTTGTTTTGGTCCTATTTGGGCATGACTTGTAATCACAATAATTCCCCAAGAGCAAGTCACAGTTTCCATTCTTCTGCAGGTTCTGGCTCAAATGTCAGGATTTTTCAGCTATCGAAAATATGATATTCAACTCCCAGGGCTGGCTTTAGTGCAACTGATTCGGATGGATCCTAAGAACCCGGCCACAAGAATGGCAGATCCATCAGCCCAGTCACCTCTCTTACCCCACCTATCTCACAGAACTGGGGATGTATATAATGAATGGAGATCAGAGGTGGTATTCAGCAGGTTCTGACCAGTTCTGGAGAACCGGTAGCAGAAATTTTGAGTAGTTCGGAGAACCAGCAAATACCACCTCTGACTGGCCCTGCCACCATCTATTCTCTGTCTCCCAAGTCCCAGCTTATTGGCTGGGTCTTCTTTTGTTGCCCTGCACAGGAGAACGGAGCTGGAAAGCAGGTTAGTGGGGTAGGAATGGGGATTTTACAGTATCCTTCTCTTGCCATGCCCTTAGAACCAGTAGTAAAAAAATTTGAATCCTACCACTGATGGAGATCCACTTCAAACCTTTGGAAAAAAGATGGTAAATGTAACAAGCAATAGAAGAATAAGTAAAATGTACTTCTTGGAAGTGGAGCCATGCAAGGGACATAACCCCCCCCCCCACACACACACACAAATGAAACTTTAATTGTGATTCCTCCCCCCTATTCATACCTTGTGGAAGAAAACACTGACAAGCCACTGCAATTTTGTTGACAGTAAAACAACAAGGACATCTCCTTTGACAAGAATCCAGGTTAACTTTCTGATCTGACAGCCAAGTTAATCAGTTTGTCCAGGTGAAGAAGGCAATTTCCACAGGATAAGGGGGTGAAGGCATAGCTGAGCCTCCCAACATCTGAATAGTATAATTGGAAGGGACCGCAGAGATCTTCTAGTCCTACTCAAGCGCGAGACCCTATAACCATTCCTGACAAGTAGCTGTCCAGTCTCTTCTCAAAAGCTTCCAGTGATGGGGCACTCATAGCTCCTAAAGGCAAGCCATTCCACATTGGGGAATTTCTCCTTACTTCTAAGTTGCTTCTCTCCTTGATTAGTTTCCATCTATTGTTTCTTGCCTTACCTTCTGGAGGTTGACCCTCTCTTCTTCATGGCAGGCCCTCAAATATTGAAACACTGTTACTGTGTCACCCACTTATCCTTCTTTTCAGTAGATTAGACACACCCAATTCCTGCAACAGTTCTTCAAATGTTTTATCCTCCAGCCCCATAATCATCTTTATTGCTCTTCTCTGTGCTCAATGACATTTTTTATCATATAATACCAGCTTCAATACCTTTGTTATAATATAGCTGCCTATGGTTAGACTTAAGCGTAGAACACAAAATTATCTGCTACAATGTCAGCTTCAGTCGTAACAATATAAGAGCATACAACAGATACAAACTCAATGTAAACCACTCCAAACTCGATTGCAGAAAGTACGACTTCAGCAACAGAGTGGTCAATCCCTGGAATGCACTACCTGACTCTGTTGTTACATCCTCTAACCCCCACTCCTTTTCCCTCAAACTAACCACTATTGACCTCACCCCATTCCTAAGAGGTCTGTAAGGGGCGTCCATAAGCGCACAATTGTGCCTACCGTCCCTGTTCTATTGTCCCCAATTATTCGTACCCATTTCCTGTATTTATACTTATGTTTATTATCTTGTAAGCTATTGATAAATAAATAAATAAAATAAATAAATAAACTGAATGGAGCATTCCAAATATGAATTTGAAAGAAGTACAGGGGAACATCGGATATTGGTGGCATTTTTCAGCCTGTTCTGGGTCAGTTTTCTGGTGGGAAGTTACGGATGAGATTGGAAGGGGAAGGAATATCCATCAGAATATATCCTGCTCTCATTCTTAAGGCTGCCCAGAAATCCAGAATCAGAAACCAAGTTGCACCACACACCTTTGGCCACTTGCTGTCAAATTCTGGGGTGCTGGGGAAAATGCAAATGGCCTCAGAGCTTCCCATTTCTGCTGCCCACGCGCCCAAGGGAGAAAAGTAGGACTCTGCATACCATTCACAGGATTGGGGCCAACATTTCCAGAGCTGTTCTGCTTGGCGTTCTCATGCAGCAGCTGGAACCAATCTCGCAGTCGGTCACCCAGGTCCGCCAAGTCTTGCCCAGTGCAGGTTTCTGCAAATCAGTTGGTAGCATCTCAGGTGAGCATCCCAGATGGGAAGACAGTAAGCAGGTTTGTCCAAAGTTAGTGTACACAACTCCTTTCTCCCCAAACACAATTATTCAAGGAATACCCAAACTTTGTTTTGTCCATGGCTAGTAAGAGCATGATATTTCTTGTCTATATAATAAATTCTGAGTGTTGGGGTAGGAAGACAAGAATACAGAAGAAAAAACTATCTAGGGCTGCAATGAAATTGATCTAAGTCACTAGAAATGACTCACCTTCTTTAATCTGGTGACAGAAAATTGCAATAAAACGTCAACTTTACAGACTTCGTGAGGAGGAAGGGAAGTGGTGTCTATTAAAGCTGAATGTCTCTTAAACCTTAATCTATACAATTTTTGTCATCTGTGTCATTTGCTAATGATGCAAATTGATGCCAAAGAGGTAAATTACACCAGTGGTCCAGACTGTTCCAAAAACACTGCACCGTGATCATTATTTGGTAGTACTGTGAATCCAAAGCTAACGTTATGTCTGTGGTATCTGAAATCTGCCAGGAAAAGATCTCAAACATCAAAATAGGTTATGAGGATTTTGCGAGTTACAACCAACCATTTTTTTTTTGTATGAAGCTGAGTGGATTTCTTGATCCTCGTTTGTTTATCTTTCATTGCTTGAATTAGAATTGAACTCTAAATACTATGAAACCTAAACGGAAAACTGAACACAAATTTAGTGGTTTGAATCTCTACTTTAAAAGCTTTCCTTCTGCTTATTCTCATAGTCAGTTTGCAACAAAATTATCTGGTAAATCGTGGCCACGTTGCCAGTCAAATCATGTTGATCTTATCCTCAAAATATCTTCTGTGTTACTGGAAGACTGACTCTATGTTCAAGGACTGACCTCATCTATATTCACATGGTGATGTTGTCCAGGACAAGGGTCTCCAACCTCAGCAAATTAACTTGTGGACTTCAATTTCCAGAATTCCTCCTCCAGTTATGTTAGCTCAGGAATTCTGGGAGTTGAAGTCCACAAGTCTTAAAGTTGCCAAAGTTGGAGACTCCTGGTTCAGGATACCAACAAATATATAGAGCAAAGAATGTCATGTGGAGGCACAAAAGGTCAGCCATGATGGAATACAGTTCACTGTCTCCAGTGTTCTTATTTATTCTCTGGGTCTATAGGGCAATGTTTCTCAACTTTGGCAACTTTAAGGTAGGTGGACTTCAATTCCCAGAATCCCCCAGTCAGAATCTACATTCTGGCTAGGGAATTCTGGGAGTTGAGGTCCACACATCTTAAAGTCGCCAAGGTTGAGAAAACACTGCTCTATAATAGCCAAAAAAATTAAGAACAGCAGAGGATACAATTATTCAACTTCTTAGTGGATGATCTCTGACCTTGCTTGAGATCCGTGGCTGAAGTTGGACTATGTTCACTTGTGCATGGGCATTGACCCTCACATTTCACTGTCAGCTGCTTGCTGGTCAGGCAGGCCTGTTGTTCCAGTTTACACTGCAAAAGAATAACAGAGAAGTCACACAAACAAGAAGGAACTGACCATCAAATAAGAATAACTTCAAGGTAAGCGACCCTGCTGGTTCTCTTGTAAAGTCTGAATGATCACCTGAGTCTCAACTCACCTGGTCCTCTAGTGCCCAGACATGAATTCAACAGATTATAAATCTTAAAGTACTGTATCATATCTAAATCCTAGAACAAGACGAAGATTTAGTGCAACAGCAAGAAATTCATGCATAAGCATGTAACAGATTATTTTTAATCATCCTAGTGGCTAAATCTTTCTACTATAAAATACATTCATCATGGGAATCAATAGGTTGACACAATATCAATATACTGATACACAATAGAAGTATAAATTTGTACAGTTGACAATTTCCCTATGCCATTGATTCAAGTCACAGTAGATCTTACAAGTATTCCTACTAAAATATGTCTGCCTCTGGATTCATTCTTGGAACACAAAGAGGCTTACTAGCCCATTTCTGCTGCAGAAAACTCCCAGCAACATTATCCCTGAAGAGTAGTCATTCCCAGTGGTGGGCTTCAAAAATTTTAGTGAGGGGTTCTCTCTGCCCAGTTGCTGGGTGGGCGTGGCCATGGCCTAGTCAGCCTCCTGCACCATGGCAGGGGTGGGCGGGCGTTTTTCCCCTCCCTGGGCTCAGGAGCTTTTCTTGAACCTCCGGGAGGGCGAAAATGGCTTCCCCAGGCTCTGGAAGCTGGAAGCAGGCCCCTTTTTGGCCTCCCTGAACTTCTGGGAGGCCCGTTTTTCGCCCTCCCCAAGCCTCCACACCTGTTCCTGCACTTATCTGCATCCAAAATGGGCCGAGTGTAGACTCCTGGAAGGAGCAGGTCGGGCAGGGCCAGCCAGGAGTGGGATTTGGGGGGTTGTCCTAACTGTGCAGAATCTTAGCTAGGCGGTCTCCCGAATCCCACCCATGGTCATTCCTCTTTGGCTTAAAAACTTTCATGAAAAACAGCCCACCATCTTTTGATACAGACTGCTCCATTAACGGACGGCTCATACTCTTCCCGAGACTATTGTATTGTTTCTTTGCAGTTGGGATGTTTACATTGTTGGCTGTCATCGGTGTACACCATATTGTGTAATCTAACTATTTCTGTAACAAGATCAAGGTTGGCATAGCCTTTGCAGTCCAATTCATGCCAACAGAAGAGACTATTCGTAGCTCAGGATTGAACTGTGGGGTCTTTGGGTGCTCTTTTAGCTTGACTGTTTTCTTGCAGACATTTCATTACCCAACTAGATAACATAATCAGTATTAAGAAATATACCCCTTCATGACTTCTGTAATTTAGTTTGCCCCTAATTTCTTAGGGAAACTAAGCCTACCTCTTGGATCCAAGCACCTTAATGTGTTGTGGATCAGGCACCGGTGGACTACTTAATTCTGACTAGACGTCTTTATGAATAGTGACAATGCTTTTTTATATTTTATGTACAATGCCTAGAGAATGCACTAGTTATATTAATTGCAACAGTGGCCAAGCACAATATAATAACAAAACCTTAAGGTTTCCTCCAAACTTATTGCTCACCCTGGCCAAATACCCATTGCAATTTGTGATTTTTTTCCCCCTCTTTGGTTGACAATTGCATTTATAAAGTCTTTCAAAAACCTGCTTTTCCTTCTGGCTTTGAGCTTTAATGAGTGGAAAGTCCTTGATAGGAAACTGTAAGTTAGTTGGACTAGCTTTTCTCTTTGAACAAGTACCACTCTTTTCTTTATTATGTTGTTCCTTGCTTTTTTTAATGTTGTACACCAGAGACTTCATGGAGTTGGTAGCTTCATTAAGATGACAAACAAATAAATAAAATGTTATAAAATGTTTTGAAAAATCATCTACAAATGCCAGGAAAAAATTCCTTCATTCTGCTCAGTTTGTGTGTGTGTGTGTTTGGGGTGGTGAGGTAATCCCTCTTTTGGATCTTGGTTTTTGGTGGTTTGGGAGTGACAAGGGCACTGCCAAAGGGATCAGTGCAAAACACTCCTAGAAAACAATCGTTTTCAAAATGGTCAAAGAAGCGGAATATATAATGAGACACACCCAACTCTGGATCAGGATATAGACCTTTTCCAGCCATAGTGGTCCAAAACTATCTCACTGAAGGTGATCACGTTCAGATGTAGGTTAAAGGAACCATTTGGTTAAACTTGTAGAAAAAAAAATCATATTTTATGAAGATAAAATGAGCATTCTTTTCAAAGCATTGCTTCATTTCCAAACTGAAGACATAAACTGCTGAGAGAAAAATCTTGGCAGACTGTAGGCGGCCAGGATTATGGCTCTTCCAAAAGCACCAGGCAAATATCAGGCCTCCTACCTTCTGTCAGGATTACCCCAATTAAATCATGAGTCTTGAGCCAAACTTCCAAAAGTAAACAGAATTTATTGAGAGTTAGCATGCTGGTACAACCTGGGTGTAGCGGACTCTTAAGACACATAATTCACTGTCACCCTTGACCCTGTTTTTCCCCACCCCTCTGGGTGTATCCTAATTCATCTTCTGCAATGAAACATGTCCATAGCCAAGAGTCATCAATCATGTTCTCCAGTTAGATTTTTGCATGGCAGAAACTTCAGTCACCTAGTTACAATCTCTGAAAAACTATGTATGGAATGCACTTTCGATTCTAGCTGCTGTAATGCTTTTTCAAACCCCTTTCCCCTCTCCCTTTCTCTTGGAAACTATAAAATGACCATAAAAAATTTTTTTTGAGTTGACACGCTCAACCTGAGAATCTCAACTCCCAGCCTTTAGTTTTTGTAAAAGCATATTTCTGTTCCTTCTGGTAGGGTTAAAATATGCTCATAAGTACGTGAGTGATGTCTGCTGAAATTTAAGGAGAAACTAAGGAATGAGACCTCTAGGTATTGGAGACCATGCTTCAGTGCCTTGAAGAAATGTTTGCCTCCTGGTTTACAAAATAGGCCAAGATTCTGCTACTGTTCTGACCCAACCTGGTTCCAAGAGAGCAAACACAAGACAAAAGCAGCACCCCCCCCCCTTTTAAGGTTTAATTCACAAATTCTGTTTCTTCACAGATAAAAGGCTGCTTCCAACTAATTAGCTCCAACAAGAAAGAGTCTTGCCAAGTTGTTTTTCAAGGCTGCCAAAAACCCACAGATAAGAAATAGTTTACAAGAGTTTTCAAATACTGACTATAATGTCCACGAGGCTGAGTTTCAGAGCAACTTTGCCTTCTGCAAAGAACACTTCTTCAAACCTGGCTTTTATCCTCTTGAGGGAGAGGCCATTACCTTGCAGCCTTACTCCCAAATCGCCCACGCTGCTGTAACTGCTCTCTCCTACGAGCAATCCTGCGTGCAGGTGCACTTGGCACGGGCTCCTCGGGAACCTCCTCATATCATCACTGTTGCCAGCCCCCACAATCTCTGAAGGCAGCAGTCCACTCCCTGATGGTCCTGGCCCCTCACCTGAGTCCTCGCTCTCCTCAGCCATCCGCACCTGCTGCTGGCTAACCACAACAGCTATGTGTATACTATTTCAGAATCCAAGTGGGGTCTTTACTGAATGTTGGTCACCGTGATGCAATTTTAAAGCATGGTATAACTTACAATTCAGTCCAAACATATTAAGTGCCCTGCAAGAGTCTTGTGATAGTTTCTCAGATGTTCTTCATCCAGTTTATTTTCTCTTGTTCCCAACCTTCTATCTCTTCTTGGCACAGCAGCTGATGGGTATATCTTTACTCTCCAACAATATATCAGAAAAGTAACATGGTTCTCCTCCTTCAACGTTTTCAGCAATATGGATCACCCTTCACTCAGACTTTTTAAATTCCAGGGACAGATTGTGCAGGAAGGATTTAGAAGCAGGCTGGCTATTTGATCCTGTTATGGCTTTGTTATTTAAATTTCAAGCCACGAGGAACTCAAAGCAAGGCATAATGAATCTTCTTAAAAGTTAATCTTCCCAAATGAAATTTCTTGCTGTGTCCTCTATTTGGAACTAATCGTGCAAAGGCTTCTCAACCTTCTTAGGTGCATAATTACAAACTGACTGCTCCTTTCCTGCAAGCAAAAAGCACGTCTTCCAGTCATTGGTTGACCTGAGCACAAGCATTTTAATAAATTATGATGCCCCGAGGAAGGGCGCCAGGCCTAGAAAATGACAAGTCAATTACTTTGAATGAGATGGTCAATGTGTTACGTAGGACAAAATATTGCTTTGTGGAATGTCAAGAAGAGAGGCCTTTGCTTGTAGCAGGGATATTTCATTTCGTTATTTATTTTATTTCATTTCATTTTATATTTTATTATTTTATATTATTTTATTTTTTATTACTTTATATTATTTTATTTCATTTATTATTTTATATTTTATTTTATTTCATTTTGTCATTTTTTATTTTATTCTTTTTTATTATATTATATTTATTGTTTTATATTTTATCATTTTTTACAATTTATTTTTTATTGTTTTTTATTTTTTATTTTATTTTATGATATTATATTTATTGCTTTATCATTTATTTTATTTTATCATTTATTTTTTATTTTATTTTATTCTTTTCTTCTTTTATTTATTTTATATTTATTCATTTCGCTACATAAATATCCATTTATTTTTATATACCGTAATTCAAGATGGTGAACATTACAGGAAGTCCTCAAACTGACCAAATTACAACCAAAATTGAACCCAAAATTTCTGTTGCTAAGTGAGACAGTTGCTAAGTGAATTTTCTTGCTGCCGTTGTTAAGGGCATCGCTGAAATTGCTAACTTAGCAAACCGGTTGTGAAGTGAATCTGGCTTCTCCATTGACTTTCCTCAGCAGAAGGTCACAAAAGGGAGGTCACGTGACTTTGGGAGACATAGCAACAGTTTTAATTATAAGCCAGGTTTGATCTTGTTCATGGGGATAGTGCAAAGGTCATAACTGTGAAAAACAGTCATAAACTCCTTTTTTTCAATGCTGTTGTAATTTTGAACAGTGACTAAACAAACTGTTGTAAGTTGAGAACTACCTGTTCCTGTTATGTCCTTGTTAGAATCGGACTCTGAGGGAGAAGAGGAACAGCTGACAGGGAGTGGAGGTGTGGCTCGAGGTTGTGGAGGTGGCTGGGGAAGGGCAGAGACCAGCTGGGCAGTCAAGGGAAGAACCAGGCCTGTCGCCTCTGCATCCTAGGACACACAGGGAGGAACAGAGAAGGCAACAACTTGGCTTATGAGAGAGGAAGTGGCCATGATCCTCCTCAATGGTTGCAGCTGGGAAGACTAGTATATAAGAGAGACAATTACAACACAGTGTTGCCAGAAGCAAAGCATGTGTTATTTTGGGCTGAAGTTATCTTGGTTGGCATCCTTCCAACAGACTCTGTCTTGTTATCTCCTTGAATTTGGTAATTACTTATCCTGTTCCATTGTGAAAATTTTGTCATTGTAGTTTGTTTGGTTTTTTATTTCACCTCTATCTGCTCATTAGTTTCGGACTGTATTGCTTTCTTTTGAAGACTACTTTTGAGTACATTTTATCTCCAACTGAGGATTATTGAACAGTGGGGCCAAGTTGGAGGTATTAAAGGACATTTATTTACATTTTGGATTTTGTTATGTTTGTGTTACATTCCGGGTCATCACAGTACCCTTCCTCCTCCCATTTTTCCCCACAATGACAACCCTGGCAGTGATTGGCTCCAAATCACCCAGTTGGCTTTCATGTCTAAATGGGCTGCAGGTCTAGAACTCACAATCGCCCTGTTTCTAGCCTGGTATCTTAAGCACCAGACCAGGGGTCCCCAAAGTTGGCAACTTTAAGACTTGTGGACTTCAACTCCTAGAATTCTGAGGAACTCCGAGGCTGAGGAATTCTGGGAGTTGAAGTCCATAAGTCTTAAAGTTGCCAGGTTGGGAGACCACTGCACTAGACCAAAAACTTTCTGACATATTGCCAAGCAGTATACAGATTTTAACTGCCTGGAATGCACGTATATTAAAGTGTTTTTAGCTTAGGAAAAAGAGAACAAGAAAGGGAAACTATAGAAATAATATTAGACATAGTGTTGTAGGAAGTTAGCACCCACCCCTCTTCTAGAAAATTGAAATATCCTAGGAAATATTAAAAAGGCAGAACATTTCCTCTAAAAAGAATAAAGTAGAAACTCAGAGAGGCAGAAACTCCGCCCCCGACCTTTGCTAATGGGCCATTAAGGCCTAGGCCAGAGTATTCTACATAATAAAGACCTCTACCTATCTCACCACCTGGCCTGGGAAGATTGTATCAGCCAACACACAGGTGAAGCCATGTGGTTCAGACAAAGCCTACAAAGTTAGTTAAGATCCCTGCCCCTGGGAGTCTGACAGCCAATGGGATACATTTCTTACACAGGAACAGGAAACACTAAGGTGGGGCCCAATAGAAGGTATATAAGGGTCTCCGCATCTTGTCCCTTCCTTCTCTTTTCCTTCACCTTGAAGCATGTGATCATCCTTCTTTGGAGCTCCAAGCCATGTGGTCCTATCTACCATTAAACCATCTTTCCAAACAGCCTCCATGTTTCCAGTGTCTTTTTCCCCACTTGGGACTGAACCCAGAAGGATAATTCTTCCAACAGTGTGAAGGAAGCAATTGTCTGCTCTATTCTGAAACATATACGAGCTGGTGAGCACAAAAGTTATCATGATCTTTTGACTGGTTGAAAAGAACCTTCAGCCCCATAAAAAGTAATCCAATGGTTGCTTTGGTCAGTAGCTGTTAATCTGTTAACAGATTAACAGAGTTGAAAGGGACCTTATAAGTCATCTAGTCCAACCTCCCCGCCCAAGCAAGAGACCTTGCACCATTTCTGACAGATGGTAGTCTAGTCCCTTCTTGAAAGCTTCCAGTGCTTATAATGAGCTTTGATTAGACTGGCTTGGCCCAGCTTAAAATGGTGGTTAAATGAATCTTTGTTTGTACTAGGAAGAATACACTAATTTCAGTTGTCCATCAGGGGAAGATAATTCTTCAAAGGTGACTCTATATTGATAGCAGGAGTTAAAAGCTTATCCCCTCACTCCATTAGCCAGAAGGAAAAAAAAAAAAGGACAGCCCAGCACAGCAGGGTTACTCAAACAAGCTTTGATTCTGGAAGTCCCATTATAGCATAAGGGGGATTGTCCTGAATATAATGTAAGGCATGCAAAACACATTTTTACCATTCTAGCTATACCCCAGTGTCATTATTCAACATATTTGCTTTGCCCAAAAAAATTCTGGCAATGCTTTAAAGAGAATTAGCTTTACCTACTATGTATTCCAATCAAGTAAATCTATTTTTAATTGTTACTATCATCACCAGGGGATGATGTTTGCTACCTTGATGCCAATAACATGAATGCAAACTCCTTTTTTTTCCTAACAAAGATCACTGATGGTCATTTGCAATTTTCCCCTAAAAAATTGAAGACATTTAAAGGAGCTTATATCCCCTCCCCCACTTTATATATTATTACGCATATAAAAAATTCTTTACACAGCTTATCTCTTGACAAAAGAACTGTCATTGTTATAAGCAAAAATACAATAGGTGTTATCTTATGTGGTTTTCTTTAATATTATTGAGTAACATCAGTTCTGGTGTCTCTGCTAATATAAACAATCATTTACTTAGCGATGATAAAGTGACAAGTGCTTCATATTTTTGGATGTCAGAAAGTCCCCCCCTCCACCTCCCAGTTTCATAGCTCAGAAGAAAACTTCAAATATAAATTCTCTTGAGCTTCTTTTCTCATCACTTAACAACTGATAGAACCAAGCTTCCCGCATGACCAAGAGCTTGTGAGATACAGATCAAGCTGATTTATTACATTTATATATCACTTTTCCTCCCGGGATCACATTTTTTACTCTTAAAGCAACTTTGTGAGCCCGCAGCTAGCTCATGAGAAAACATTTGATCCAATTTCAGACATGAGCAATCATTGCAGCCCCTGCCACAGGAAACTGCAGATTAAATTCAGCGGGCCACTCTAAACCACTCTAAAATTGAAAGGTTGTGGTAATTTTTTTTTATCGGGATGTCAGGGCTCTCATTTCTGTGCCCTCAAAATACAGCCCAGCCTGGCAGAAATTAAACAGGTTAATATTTTCCTTAAGATACTTCTGGTGGTGCTGCTAAGAATGAAGATTTTTCATTCCCCTTATCAAAACCCATGCATCTAGTAGTGAATATGCAAACTGCCTGCTGAAAAAAGCAATCTAAACATTACCTCAGGGTAACTTTAGGGTAGTTGCAAAGGGAACGGAGACAATGCCCGAGGCAATTAGTGGCCTGGGCAGGCAATCAGGAGCCTCCAGGTATTTTGAGTAACGATTTCCCAAATTCCTCTACTACCACGTTAGTCAAAACTAGTGGGAGTTGAAATCCAAGCAGCTTCGGGTAATGGACTTTCCCCCGCTCTCCCTTTGGGTGTCTTCTCCAGCCAAATGTATCTCACAGAGGTTGTTCTGAGGGTAGAATCAGAGGAGGTATTCAGCAGGTTCTGACCAGTTCTGGAGAACCGGTAGCGGAAATTTTGAGTAGTTCGGAGAACCGGCAAATGCCACCTCTGACTGGCCACGCCCCCATCTATTCTCCGCCTCCTGAGGCCCAGCTGATTGGCTGGGTCTTCTTTTGTTGCCCTGCACAGGAGAACGGAGCTGGAAAGCAGGTTAGTGGGGTGGGGAGGAATGGGGATTTTGCAGTAACCTTCCCCTGCCATGCCCACCAAGCCACGCCCACAGAACCGGTAGTAAAAAAAAATTGAATCCCACCACTGGGTAGAAGAGATAGGTAAAGAAATGGACAGGTGTGGCAAGAATAACATATGACTCTGTTAAAAACAGAATGCTTTACCCACACAAAGGTTTTGCAGAATTAGTTCTAGAGTGGCTGTCGGAGCTCCAACAAATCCAGCCTCATTTAAATCAAAGGTCTCTAGCTGCATCTCAGAGAAAAGAAAATTGATTTATTAGAGGTTGCCATGTTGGCGCGTGGCTGGGTGCAGCCGATACTAAATTACATCATACATTTCCCCCTTGACCCTGGTCTTTCCCCCACTCCCTTGATGTGACTTGTCCAATGGAACACATCCATCCCCAGGAGTCATCCATCGTGCTCTCCAATAACCTTCTCATGCTCTGACAACGTTGGGCTGCTGAGGTGATTATCTAGGCATTTCAAGAATGCCTTGTTTTCCCCTCGCTCCCTTTTTCTGGCAGCTAAACACACCAAAGGAGTATCTTTTTAATTGACAGTGGCATTCTAACTGATGGGCCTTTGCAACAGGTACCAGTTACAGGTAGTCCTCAACTTACAAGAGTTCATGTAGTGACTGTTCAAAGTTACAACGGCACTGAGGAAAAAAATGACTTATGCCCATTTTCCACAACTGTTACAACCGTTACAGCATCTTCACAGTCACACGATCAACATCCAGATGCTTGGCAGCTGACTCGTATTTATGACAGCTGCAGCGTCCTGGATCGTGTGATCCCTTTTCCTGTCAAGCAAAGTCAATGGGGAAGCCAGATTCACTTAATGACCATATTACTAACTTAGCAAATTATTCCCTTCACTTCACAATTTTGGCAAGAAAATTCATAAAACAGGGGCAACACTCACTTGAACAATGTTTCACTTAGTGACATAAATTTTGGGGCTCAGTGGTGGTCGTAACTCGAGGGCTATCTGTAACATGCCAACGTTCAGATCCCCTCACCGATCCCAAGAAAAACACCCAATCTGTTATAAATCAGGCTGATCCTTTGCAAGCCCCAAACCGCCTCGCCCTCTGCTCCGCCTCGCTGCTTATTTTCAGGGTCAAATATTGTTGTCCTCCTTACCACAGAGCTGTAAGTATGGCCATCCGAGCCACAGACAGAGGCAAGCTGGGTCATGTGGCAAGGTTTGCACAGGTTCTCCTTGTTTCCATGGAGCTTCACGGCAGGCTGCTTGATTCTATGCCAGTGCACCAGGGAGAGAGGAAAGGAAAAAAGAGCAACAACATACATTAAGGCGTGGCTAAGATCAATTTCTCTCCTTCCTGGGGACGTTTTGGGAAGGCGATGTTGGAAGTTAAAACCCACCCCTCTCCTAGGAAAACGAAATGTTTTAGGATATCCTAAAAAGGCAGAATATTTCCCCTCAAAAGAGAAGTAGACTTGGGGACTTCAACTTCCAGAATTCTCCAGCTAGAATAGCTGGCTGGAGAATTATGGGAGTTGAAGCCCATAAACCTTAAAGCTGCCAAGTTTGGGGACCCCCTGCTCTAAAAGATTATGAAATAGAAGTTCAACATCATCTATAAACCCAGAATTCATCCATCCATCATCTCACCTAAGTGACTCTGAATTGGGACCAGTGATTCTCCTACTCTCTTTTACAATATCTTTATTACATTTCAAAATCAAACATTAAAATGCAAGCTCACATAAAAGGGAAAGGGAATAGGAAAACAAATTAAAAGTGACCAAAAATATATCAAATAAATTCATAACAAAAAATGACCTCTCATTTTGTTTTAGTATAGATATAACAACAGGGCAACAAACTCACTTTGAACAATTAACAAAATCTTTTTAGAAAAACCCTTAAGTTACTAATAACATTCTTCTCTTAATTTTCATCTAACGCATAATAAGTTGTTAAATATAAATAACTTTGCATTAAAAAAAAAACTACAATATTTCTCTGGACAAATCCAATCTTATCTTCAAATCTCAAAGTTAAAAGCTGATTTTTCTCCTTGCTTTGAACAATGGTTCTCAACCTTCTGGAATCTGTGGCACAATATTTAATATAGCAGGAATTCTGTGTTACACCAGAAAATTATACTGTATATATAACAAAACAAAACAAAAGCAAAAATAAATAAATAGCACAAGGCAAAAAATCTCCTGGCATAAAAGAAACAAATCCATGGCCCACCTGTGTGCTGCAACACACAAGTTGAGAACCCCAGCCTAGACTATTGTGTGAAGGATTTGGCTATTTCTGCCCTGAATATCAGTAGCGGCATCTTTTCTAGACTGGTCATATATCCAAGTGGCCTTAAAATATCTGATTACAGGGAGTTCTAGGGGGTGGGCTGATACCGGTTCGCACCAGTTCAGGTGAACCGGATGTTAATTTTACATCCGGTTCACTGGACTGGTAGTTAAAATGACTGGCTGGCCCCATCCACCGCTCCCCTCCTGGAAGGTCAGAAACAGGCCTGTTTCCAGCCTCCACAGCCCAGGGAAGTCATTTTTGTTCTCCCAGAGGTTTGAGGAAAGCCTCCGGAGCTCGGGGAGAGCGAAAACGCCCCCCCCCCATGGTGCAGGAGGCCAGCTAGGCCACGCCCACCATGGCCATGCCCACCCAGCAACTGGGCAGGTTGCTAAATTTTTTGAAGCCCACCCCGGGTAGTTCTCGACTTACGACCGCAATTTGAGCCCAAAATTTTTGTTGCTAAGGGAGTCATTAAGCGATCTTTGCCACATTTTATAAGGTTGCTTCAAACAGTTGGAAGTGAATCACTGTGCTTATTAAATGAATCTGGCTTCCTGCATCTCAGAGGGCTGCAAAAAGTGACCACATGACCCCAGGACACTGCGACTGTCACAAATATGAGTCAGTTGCCCTGTGTCTGAATTTTGTTCACGTGACCGTGAGGAGGCCGCAATGGTCATAAGTGTGGAAAAATGGTCGGAAGTCACTTTTTTCCAGTGCTGTTGTAACTTCGAACGATCCCTAAATGAGTTGTTGTAAGTTGAGGACTACCTGTATTATCAAAAAATATCTGAATAGCCAAATCACCCTGTCAGGAATTAAGGTAAAACTTAATGGATTCCTTACCGATGCTCCAGTTTTTTGCGACTGATACACATGGCCCTCTGGTAACCCTGGGCAATGCACACCTTATGCCGGCTGCATTTGATCTTCTGGCAAGGATCTTTTGTGGTGTCCAGACCTAAAGCAAGAGGCAGAGAGAACAGGTGTCATCCTACACTAAGTTTGGGATCCAAAATATCACTCCACCCTACAGAATAACCGACTTAGAAGGGATTTTGGAGGCCTTCTAGTCCAACCCCTTTTCAGGCATGAAACCCTTATACCTGCTCTGACCCAGGCTTCGTCAATCGTAGTTATTCACAAACTTGTTTTAAAATCAAAACCTATTTTATTGCAACGCTGGGAATTGTTCTCATTCCCAGACGGAGCTCATCTTAAACGGTTCCCCAAGATAAGCACTCACCTTTCAGTTCTGTGGAATGCTGCCAAAAGCAGAAGTATCCAATTAACTATAAAAGAAGCCAACCGAGGTACAAGAAAAAACAACAACCAAAGTACACAGAGCTTCAAGGAGGACTCGGAATCGATCGAACTACGTTGCTTCCTGCAAAGGTTTTGTCATTTAGGCCTCACTTTATCCCTTATGGGAGGGGCCATCACCTCCCAGCCTTACTCCCAAGTCGCCCCTTTTGTTTCAGCTGCTCTTGCCTTCTAGCAGCTCTGGGCACATGCGCACTGGGAACAGGCTCCCCTGGGTCCTCTGCCTCGCTGCTGCCAGACACCGAAGACTCTGAAGGCAGCATCTCACTCCCAGATGGTCCTGGTCTCATCTTTGCATCGGACATAGGATCTTCGTCTGAGTCCTCTCCAGACTCTCTAACTGGTCCCCTTTCTTACCTACTATCTGATTCTGCTACTGTCTGCCCTGGCTGCCAGTGAACCACAATACCAGGGGTGTCAAACTCAATTTCATTGAGGGCCACACCAGGGTTCTGTTTGACTGTGGGGGGCTGGGGTGAGTGTGGTCAGGGTGTGTGTGGCCAATATGACATCATTTGTGTTGGGGGGACACCTGTGGGGGCCCCAAGTGCTCTGCCAGTGAAAACAGGCTCCTGAGCTCCATTTTTGGTTGGGCTGGCCTCCTGCAGCCTTCTGCCAGTGAAAACAAGGTCAGGGGCTGTGCGTGGCCCTCACAAGCACCGTTTTTGATTGGGCCGGCCTCCTGCAACTCTCTGCCAGTGAAATCGGATTTCACAAGGGCTGTCTGAGCTCCATTTTTGCTGGCAGAGGCTCCATGGGCTGGTCCTTCACTATTTCCAGCACAGCTCCCTGGGCCAGATCTAAGCATCCCAGGGGCTGGATCTGGCCCCCGGGCCTTAAGTTTGAGACCTCTGCCCTATACCATTTCAGACAAATGGTTGTCCAGATTCATCTTAAAAGCCTCCAGTGTTGGAGACATCTGGAGACAAGTCATTCCGTTGGTTAACTGTTCTCACTCTCAGAAAATTCCTCCTTAGTTCTACGTTGGTTCTCTCCTTGATTAGTTTCCATCCATTCCTTCTCATCCTACCTTCAGGTGCTTTGAAGAATAGGTTGACCTGCTTAATCTTTCCGGGACCACCTTCACCTAGACCAGGGGTAGTCAACCTTTTTATACCTACCGCCCACCAGTTCCACAGTAATGGTGATTTATAAAGTAGTGGACAAAACTCCTACCGCCCACCATGAAAGCTGGAACGCCCACAAATGGGCGGTAGGAACCAGGTTGACTACCACTGACCTAGACTGTCATCTAATATACTGTAGGCAACATAGTGCAGGAATTCAGGAACTGGAAGTCACCTTATGATTTATTTTAAAAGCAGCCTAATTGTAAATTTTGTTTTCTTTTTCTAATACCCTGACCGCCATTTATAATATTCAAACAATGTACCCACATTATTTATTCATGTGTTGAATTTATATCCTGATCCCATTTCAATAGAAGCTAAAATGCTGTGAAGGAAATTGCATTTATTCAGTGCAGGAGATGTCAAGGACTCGTATTCGCTAGCTGAGTGCACTTCTGAATATTTGGTTAGCAGGTAAATAAGTGGATCCACATCCTTACATGGAGATGCTCACTCATAAGTCCAAAGGATTCTTGGTTTTGCAAAGAGAATAGAGCTGGAAATCACTGTTTCTCAAACTTGGCAACCTTAAGATGTGTAGACTACAACTCCCAGAATTCCCCAGCCAGCAAATGGCCAAGTTCCACCAGTGTCAGCTGCCACCTTACTCTTGCCTGTGCTTTGCTACCATGCGGTGACAGTCTGCCATGAACTCTGGGGAGGGTGGATGGAAGGAGGAATGCTTGGGGGTAAATGAAAATAACTGCTGCATCTCCCCGAGACGCTGCCTCAAGGTCACCCAGCTGGGAGAAGGCAGCTGCTTACCAACCTATGCTTGAACTAACCATTCCAAAAACATCTTGCTTGAACCTGATTGGTCATGGGGGAGGAATCAGCGATAGGAGGCAGTTAAGGGTTGAACGTAGGGATTTTGACACACAATTCTCAGTTCCGGCTATGCATTCCTGCAATACACTTGACTTCTAATAAACTATGCTTTTCTTGGCAAATGGAAGCCAAGGTTTCTATTTAGAGGTGTAAGTGGTGGCAGATCTGACAACCAGAATTAATGAAAGGGGATCTCTTATATTGTTTCCCATCTTCAATCATAACCCATATGATAGTTTGGTGTGTTTTTTTAAATAACTATGGATAAAAGCCAACCCACCTTGAGCATGGTCACGAATATCTGAATGGAATGGAATGGAGTGGAATGGAATGGAATAGAATAGAATAGAATAGAATAGAATAGAATAGAATAGAATTCTTTATTGGCCAAGTGTGATTGGACACACAAGGAATTTGTCTTGGTGTAAATACTCTCAATATACATAAAGAAAAGGTACATTCATTAAGAATCAAGAATCATAACATACAGCACTTAATGATAGTCGTAGGATACAATAAGCAATCAAATCATACTAGGAAACAGTCATTATAAATAGTTAGGATACAAGCGACTAGGTTACAGTCATACAATCACAAGTGGGAGGGGATGGGTGATAAGGAGTGATGAGAAGGTTAATAGTAATAGTAGTGCAGACTTTGTAAATAGTTGGACAGTGTTGAGGGAATTATTTGTTTAGCAGAGTGATGGCATTCAGGAAAAAACTGTCCTTCTGTCTAATTGTTCTGGTGTGCAATGCTCTATAGCGTCATTTTGAGGGAAGGAGTTGAAACAGTTTATGTCCGAGATGTGAGGGGTCTGTAAATATTTTCACAGCCCTCTTTTTGACTCTTGCAGTATACAGGTCCTCGATTGAAGGCAGGTTGGTAGTAATTGTTTTTTTCTGCAGTCCTAATTATCCTCTGAAGTCTGTGTCTGTCCTGTTGGGTTGCAGAACCAAACCAGACAGTTATGGAGGTGCAGATGACAGACTCAATAATTTCTCTGTAGAACTGAATCAGCAGCCCCTGATGAAAGTTTGAGCTTTCTGAGTTGGCGCAGAAAGAACATTCTTTGTTGTGCTTTTTTGATAACGTTTTTCATGTTGGGTGTCCATTTTAGGTCTTGTAGTATGATAGAACCTAGAAATTTGAAGGTCTCTACTGTTGATACTATGTTGTCTAGTATTGTAAGAGGTGATAGTAAGGGAGGGTTTCTTCTAAAGTCCACCACCATTTCTACGGTTTTGAGCGTGTTCAGTTCCAGGTTGTTCTGGTAACACCACGAATCTGGATCAGTGACATTTAGGCTCAAAATTTAAGCACTGTAAGTAATCCTAATGACTCGATCTAGAAATGCAAGGAATCTCCCATTTGCTCTGATCCAGCAAGACCAATCTGTTGATCCAAAGTCTCCCGAAAGCATGTAGCCACAGACTGAGACGACATAGCTGCCACAGCACAACAGCACTAATCCATAATATTGTATTGTACTGACAGCACAAATCTCTTGAGGTTACTTACCACTAATTGCCTGCAATAATTGCTAGATTTGGATGGCAAACAATACTTGGATCTAGCTTTTAGACTTCCCAGTTTCATTGGCAAAATAAAAGAATCTGTGAGTTTATAGCCAGCAAATATTACAGGCAGAGAAAGGCTCCCCAGCAGATGCTCTCGCACAATTTTCTGAAGCTCAGGGGGGAAAAAAGCACATAATATTCCAGGAAAGTCAAGACGTGCTTTCTATTGAACTGAATCTCACAAGCTGATGAAAGGATTGGTGACTGAATGCTTCCTCTTCAATTTTGCCCTGGAAGTTCCTTTTTAATAATGCCAACATCTCATGTACCAAGTCTGCCAGTGCTGATAATTGATGAGCCTACATATTCTGACTCCTTGAATATATGAAGCTGCTTTGTAGTAAGATAAATCCTGGTCTGTCTAGCTCAGTAAGGTCTTTTTACTGTAGCTTCCCTTACCCAATAGGTACCTGGATGGAATACAACTCTCATCATCCCCAACACCATGGTCATACGTATCTAGAAACTAGCTCGATACCTGGGCTTCGCTATGTGATCGGGCTTAGTTTTGGGGAAGGAAAATAAGGGGAGGAAATTCTGCCTCTGCCTACCAGCATCCATCGGTATTCATCTGGCTAGCGTCCTGTCATTGTGTGAGAGAGACTTGAGGGCTGTTTGGAAACTGAAACAGTATTTACTGTATGAGCAAGAAGGAGACGCAAGGAGCTTGGGCGTGGCTTAGCTCAACCGTTCTGTACTAAAGCTGATTGGTGTTGTGAAATGAAAACTGAAACTCCTCTCCTCTGCTTGTGTTTTGCATTTGGAACAGATTTCTTTTCAGGCAGGGAGTGGGACTAGAACTCCTTAGCATCAGAGCGTGTTAATAATAATATACGAAATACTAATGTTCATTTCAAAAAATCCTTTCTTAGTGAGCGCTTAGAAGCCAAGAGGAACACACATGCCAAATTTCAAGTTTGTAGGCTTTATGCTTCTGGAGATTTTGCGTGATGATGCATGAGTGGTATTTTGCTTTTATATAGAGAATTAGCCAGTCAACTAATGCTACTGCAGTTATGCAATGTTGGACTTACTGGGCAGATTATGATATTCCACTTTATTGGGAACTTTCCAAGGTGTTTAGAAGCAATAAATATTCT